TCTTTTGTTTTATAAGGCAACTTGTTATGTGTCCACAATGTGAAGATAGTTGAAAGGCTGTTTGGACAAAGAAGAGTGGCTTCGGGAGGGGAATTCGTAAGGCCGTAAATAGAGGGTTTCTCATGCTTGGAACTGCTTTTAGCTTGCACGTTTAGTTTGAATACTAAAAAGGAGTTCTTCTTACTCTTCCTCTATGGGATCTGCTGCCCCACATAGAGTCAGCCGTGGAGCAACTCTGGGGGAGAGAGAGAGAAGGCCTTCTGACTGTTGCCATGCTGACAGCCAATGAGAAGAGTTCATTCTCCATGCTGCTTCCTGGCAGAACATGCATTGATTCATTCATTCAACAACATTTAATGAGCTCCTAAAATGTGCTAGGCGCTGTTCTAGGTGGAAAGATACATTGGTGAACAAGAAAGACAAAATTCCTATTCTTGTGGAGCTTGAGTCGTATTAGGGAAGACAGAGAACAAATAAGTAAACATATAAATCATATTAGACAATAACAAGCACTCTAAAAAATAAAGCAGGGTAAGAAGGCAGAGGATGCTGGGAGTAAAGTGAGAAGCTTCATTAGGCAAGGTCTCCTCAAAGAGCTGACATGTGAGACGAGATTTGAGTCAGTTATAAGTGAACATTCCAGGTAGAGGGGACAGCAAGTGCAAAGATCATAAGGATGGTATGAATTTGGAATGTTTAAGGAAGAAGAAAGCCCACCTGGAGTGAGTGAGGGGGAGAATAGGGAGAGAGGGACCTGGGAAGAGAAGCAGGTGTGATATAAGATGTTTGGATTTTTCTAAAATATGATGGAAGGCTCCAGGAGGAGTTTTGAGCAAGGGAGTGTGATCTGATACATGTTACAAAACACAGACTATGACTGCTGAAGGCAGAGGTGACTGAATTATACGGGGCAAGAATGGAGGCAGAGAGAACCATTGAGAGTCTACAGCTGTAGCCTGTGGGAGAGCTAATGATGGGCTGGAGGAAGGTGGGAGAAGGTGACCTGGTGAGAAGGGAAATTTGACTTGGGATTTTTCTTTAAGGTATACTCACAGGGCTTGATGGCTTGTGTGTGGGGGCATAGGGCAAGCAAGTCAAGGATGACCTTGGGTTATGTAGTTGGAGCACTTAGTGAAGGTTCATGCCATGTCCTTAGAAGTCAGCAGTGAGAAATTTAAGAGAAGGGAAAAGTCAAAAGTCCTCATTTGGCCATATTACAATTTTTTGTCATGATCATTAAAATATTTTTAAAAACAGCTTTATTGAGATATAATTCACATACCATACAATCCACCCACTTAAAGTATACAATTCAATGGTTTTTACTGCATTGTGAATATCTGTGAGAGTTTTACATCCATCACCACAATCAAATTTAAAGCCTTTTCATTACCTCAAAAACAGCCCCTACACTTTTTAGCCATTACCCTCTAATCTTACCTCCCTAACCCCAAGTCCTAGACAACCACTAATCAGATGTTTTGTCTGTATAGATTTGCCTATTCCTGACTTTTCATAAAAATGAAATTGTATAATATACGGTCCTTTTTGACAGGCTTTTTTCACTTAGTATGATGTTTTCAAGGTCTGTCAATGTTGTAGTATGTGTCAATGCTTCATGTCTTTTTATTGCTGAATAATATTCCATTATATAGGCATACCACATTTCATTTATCCACTTATTTGTCAATGGATATTTAGGTTGTTGCTACTTTTTGGCTATTTTGAATAATGCTCTAGACATTTATGTATAAGTTAGTACATGGACATATGTTTTCATTTACCTTGTGTGGATACTAGGGATAGAGTTGCTGTACAGCAACTCTGTTTAACTGTTGAAAGAACACTTCACATTCTAACTAGCAGTATATGAGAGTTCCAATTTCTCCACATCCTCATCAACATTTATTATCTATTTTATTCTAGCCATCCTCGTGGGTGTGAAGTGGTATCTCACTGTAGTTTTGACTTGCATTTCCCAGATGGCTAATGATGTTGAACATCTTCTCATGTGTTTATTGGCCACTTGTATATATACTTTGGAGTAATATCTATTCAGATCCTTTGCCCATTTGCAAATTGGACCTTTTATTGTCTTGTATTATTTAGTTGTAATAGTTTTTTAGTAGATACAAGTTCCAACCAGATATGTCTTGCAAAGATACTTTTTCATTTCATCGGTTTTTACTTCATTGAGAGTGTACTTTGAAGTGCAAATGTTTCTAATTTTGATGATGTGGCCATATTATATTCAAGATGTCTAACAGGTAGTTAGACATGTAGGCCTGGGGTTCAAAATAGAGGCTGGGGATAGAGATGCATCCCTGTATAGATATTATTAAATCCAGGAGGTGGGATGCGCTTAACAGGGAGGGAGTGTGGCTGGAAGGGAAGGGTTGAGGAGTGAGTCCTGGGGCTCTCTAACATTTAGAGGTCAGGAAGAAGAGGCAGAGGGATAATCAAAGACAACTACTGGCTCCTGAAGAGCCCACGAAGGTAGGCCATCCTGAAGGGAAGGGTGGACTTGGGATCTGGCATCGGGTAAGATGTTCCAGTGTGGCTTTCACTGAGCACAAGTCTCACTGTAACATTCCGCCATCAAGTACGTACATAGCCATGTGTCCCTTCATTGTCACTATAGAAACTTGCTGGGCCCATTCTATGAAGGTCACCTTAGCTTAATGGGCCTACACACTCAAAATCCCCACTCAAGGGCTGCACTTATAGGAGATTGCAGTACTTAGTTATCTAGAAAAGATTTATGACCTTATTGAGATTAACTCTTGTTACTGTTAATGGATGTTACGTTGCAAAGCTATGACAGAACATATGTCTTGCTTTATTTTTTAATGGAACAAGCTAAAAGTCCCATCCCACAGGACCGGCTAATTACACAGAGACTTTAATAAAGATAGAGAACTCTGAAGATCTTACCCAGACCACCTTTTCCCCTTGCTGGGGTCACTGTACTTTTAAGGATTCTGGGCTTTCTGAAATCAATAAAAGGGCCTTGGAAACAACAGTCCAAAGCAACTCAAGGCTGTTCCTGCTGAGGTGTATTTAAAAGACTGCAGAGGAGAGACAGGAAATGGCTCTTACAATACAACATGGTGTATGGTGTCCTTGTCCACAAGGCCCAACAAGACTTGGGAAATCCTATTCTCTTCAAGATGTGTGATTTTTAACGTTAGCTTTAAATGCAACACGCTCCAGGTGGAAGGAAAAACACGTGGACTCTGTTAGTGAAAATACAGAGTCAAGGCAGACAGATTTCCTTTGGGCCTTAGCTGAATCTAAGTTGGAGTCAGCTGATATCAGTTTACCTCTTAATCATTCAGCTCAACTTCTGGATTGCACAGCAGACTTCTTGAGCTGGAATTTACCTGCTTGTTCACTTTCTTTTTCATCTGCCAAAGGACCACAACAAAAAGGGCCAAGTGGGACAGTGGCTTGCACACAGAAATATCCAGAAAAATAAGGCAGAGACCAGAAGAGCATGCTAGTAAAGCCTTGTCTCTTAATAAGCTGCACTAATTTGGTGAACTTCACTGGGGCTCCTGGGGTCAGAGTTGTGTAGGGGTTAAGGATATAGGTAGTGAAAGTGGGTGCAAGAAGTGAGAAGGGCACGTTCTTATTAGTGAAGAGGATTCTGAAAGGTTGGAATTGGTTTCCAGGAAATGAGGGAGGGCTGTTCTGAGGTTTCCTTGGACTCCTCTAGGAATCCCTGTTGTGAATATCAAAGGGGTACTAGTGGTGAGGGGCAGTAGTTGGGGGTGGGGTCAGAAAGAGTGGGAAGACTGAACAAGCTGGGTAACTTGAAATTATGTGGGGTTCATTTGCTGTAAATCAGAGGCTGTCATTTCAGATTTCATGACTTTACATGTCCAGTTGTAAATAACATTCCTAGGTGTTAGTGGGACAAATACGAAGTGGGACAGCAGCCTCAAATTTGGGAGATCTTCACAGGGAAGGTCGTCAGGTCCTGAAAGTGTCGCCAGGTCCTGAAAGGGTCGCATAGAGGGGAGAGAACCCATTCTCTTCTTGCCAAGTAGAAAACAAAGCCTAGCTTTTCTCTCCAGAGAATGTTGTGGTGGTGGGGGAGGGAAAAGAAGGTGGAGGTCCCGGAGAAATTGCAAATGGGGCCAAAATGTGACTATGAAAGAAGAGTGAGCTTTTGATAATACCATTAAGAAAATCACGCAAGGAAAAAAAAAAAAAAAAAGATGGTTAGGTATTACCCCTATGTGGCAGCATCTGCCCTGCAGAAAGAGAAGGTTTGCAAACAGACTTCCCAAACCCCAACCACAGCTCGCTCTGCCTCGAGGACCCCTTTTCTGTACCCCCACCTCAGCGCCCTCTTCCTGCACCCACAAAGAGAGTACTCAGTCATAGGGGTTCACCAGGAGAGAGGAGACAGAAGGTACAGGCGGTGAGCGGGAACTCAGCCATCATCTCACTCAGGTCTCTCCCCACCCAGCTGATAGAGCGAATCCCGAGTAATTGTTTTCCGAGGGGGTCCGTGCGCGCTCGGTGGCGCCGCCTCGGTCTGGGTTCCCCGGAGGAAAAATACCCACCCGCTAGGACACAGCGGCTTTTCGACTCGGCGGGGATGAACTGTGGCAACTTCTGCAGCCCCCACCGCGGTGCGGAAGCAGAGGTGGCAACATTGGCGACGGCGGCTCGGCGGGGCGGGAGCACGTGAAGCCGTGGGGGCGCCGTGTGCCTCCCGCTTTCTGGTTTCGGCCGCGAGTCCCGGGACTCCGACTTGGGTGCTCCGGGTGGTAGCGGCTGCGGTGCCTGCAGTCCAGATCCTCGCAGTTCCGGGGGCGAAGAAGGCGAACGGAATCGTCCCCCAGTGGGGAGCGCAACAAGCCACAGTAGCCAAGCCCCTCGCTCCTGCCCCGGCTCCCAGGCGAACGCAGCCGCAGCGGGGGCCGGGCCCCGAGCCCCACGCCGCCGCCGCCGCCCGTGGTGAGGGGCGGGCTGGGGGCGGGGCGGCCGGGGCTGCCTTCCCTGGCGCATCCCCGAGCGCAGCACCGGCGCTGCCGAGCCACCTCCCCCGCCGCCCGCTAGCAAGTTTGGCGGCTCCAAGCCAGGCGCGCCTCAGGATCCAGGCTCATTTGTTTCCACCTAGCTTCGGTGCGCCCTGCTAGGCGGGGACCCTCGGGAGCGATGCCGGTGGATGTGATTTTAGTTGTGTGGTTCTGTGTGTGCACTGCCAGGACAGGTAAGCATGACGGTGGCGGTTAGAGGGATCCGGGAAACGGGGGTGCCCACAGCCCACGGTGGCGTGGGGAGACCTGGAGCCGAGCTCTGCGCTGGTCTGGGGAACGGCGGTAGTGTGGATCGGTTCCTGGGATCTCTTTGCCCTGCTGGGAGTGACAGGGTGAGAAGAGGGACTCACGGGCTTGAAGATGTCCCCGTTTAGTGCCTGTTCTCAGGGGACCCGGCCTCTGGGGCGCAGGAGTGAGGGGCGCGGCCGAGCGGACGCACCCTCGTGCGGCTAGTAACCAGCTTTCTGTGCCAGGGAGTCGAAACCCGCAGCAGGGCGGGCCCGCGTGCCCCGTGTTCCCGAACTTGAAAGGTGCTGTGGAAACCGCTCTCGCCGACCCCCGCCAGGCTGGGAAGGGGTAGCTGCGGGAGTCGCACCTGCGGAGGGAGCGCTTCCGGCTGGCGGGTGCGGCCGGGGCCCAGGAGGGCGCGGTGCGGCGAGGGGAGAGAACTGCGGGAGAACCCTGGGATCCCGCGATCTCCTCCTGTCCCTTTCTGACTACCCAGGAGAACTCCAGGAGTATTCTCCTCCGCCCCGCTTTGCTCCCAAGGGTTGGGCGAACAATTATCTAAGGGAAATAGACCTGTGGAGACAATCCGGGGAGATTTTCTCAAGCTCAAACCAGTTTTCTCTTGCCATAATCGCAGGGTTCGGGGTGGGGAGGGGGAGCAAGGATGATGCATGATTGTCTGAAGTCCCCACTTCGTTCTGCCTCCGGAGACGCAGTTGTGAGGACTCTCAGCGCATCTTCTTCCTTCTGCTTCCACCGGCTCCCTTGCCCGAAAGTCCCCTGGGGTTCGGAGACTGGCTTGCAGCCGCCTTCTTCAAAGAGCTAGTAGTAGATGCGAGGAGACTGGGGTGAGGTGAGGTGGGGTGAGATGTGGTAGGAAATTGGCAAAAATAGGGCCTGTCAACTAGGGGGAGTGTCGGAGGTTTGCAATCCTACCCAGCCATCCCTCCGTACGCGCTGCCGACTTTGCACCCTAGAATCTGTGTGGTCATTCCCTCTGTCTTTATTCTCCCCGCTTTACCACCTTATTTCCTTCTCTATAGGCGTGGCCTTCTCTCTAGACCAAAGAGCAAGTTCACCTGGAGAGGGCTGAGGGGGCGTCTGCCTTTGGTTGGCTCAAAAGTTCCCTCCGCTTGCGCCCAGGCGCCCCTCTTTGGCAATTAGCCCGCCAGAAGATCTAGCATCTAGGAGCTTTCAGAGGACCCTTCCCACTTCCCCAGGACTGAGCAGGCAGCGGCTTTCGTCTGGTTAAGAGTGTTGAGTATGGATTTCTCCAGGGACAAAAGAAACCTCCCATTCCGTTCCTTACCTGGGAAGTTCCGAGCTTCCCAGGCTGCGGAGACGCCAAGGCTCAGTCTAGCTTAGAATAGTTACTTCTTGAGTTCAGGCCCATCAGAATGAGTTAGTCTTTTGAAACCGGAAAACGCTGAAGGAGTGCGCGCACCCCAGGAAGATCAGGACAGGCAAGACTAGTGCAGAGCGTGGGCTACCTGCTCTGAGCGCGAGAGTGCTGGTGGACATCTTGCAGAGGAACCGCAGACAGGGAGAAGCTTGAGAGGGAGGGGGCAACCCGTTAGTCAGTTCACATCCCTAAGTGCACATCACTACGGAATATGCCTAAATCCTTTGTTCTCATCATTCCTTTGAAAAGTCGCCAAAGTACCCTTATCACGGAATGCAAGGTGTTTCAGGGTTCATTGCTTGTGAAGGGGATCTTTAAGAGCAGGTATTTTCCCTCTTTCCACTTCCAATCCCCTTTAAATCTTGTAAAAATTTGGTTGTAGGGGAAAATTCATTCATGTATTTATTCATTCAACAAACGATGTCTTGCTGGGTGCCAGGATTTCTTATGCAAAGAGGAAATGACTTAGTCCTTGACTTCTAGGAACTTACAGTTTAGCTGAGAATCTAGATAGGAACTGGCAGGCATTTTAATTTTACAGATTGATGGGGGGTGGTGAAGAGCTAGGAGTATAAGTTTGTATTAAGGAAATATGGAGGAGGGACAGTTTGAATTAATTCTAGGGAGGAGTGGTGGTCAGGGATTTGAGAGTTGTGCCTTCAAGGCTTTGTAGTGAGTTTTCCAGGTGGACAAAGTGGTAAGGCATTCTTGGCAGAGGGAACAGATTGAGCAAAGGCAGGGAAGCATGGAAGAATCTGACCCATTGGTTGTGACTGTTGCCTAGGGAGCTTGGGTTTTCAATGCCCCTTGGCACTATTTGAACACTAGAGGCCACATATTTCTTCTACACACATTATCAGAAGAATCAGAGAGACGGGGGGAATTACCTCTCAATTTGTACACTTAAAATATCTTGTAGTTTGAGAGGGTATAAGCAGTAGCTTTCTGGGGGCAGCCGTCTGATTTTGTGCAGGAATCACCATTACCACACCATCCATCCACCTCTTAGGTAACAAAGGCTGGCTGGTGATTAGTTTATCAGCATCCAAACAGCTGCATGGAAAGTTTCTTTGTCAAGTGGGACAATTGTTGTCCGGGCTGTTAACAGTCCTAGATGAAATAAACATGTGGTTCACTTAGTGAGCTGCTCAGATATCACCGCCTTTTAAAGGAACTGAGTAGATGATTATCAGGCACATTTTAATTAAAGAAAGACTGCAGTGCAGACACAGTTGCATATGAAAAGATCTAATGATAGGTGTCACGAGGAGCTGCTTAAATCTGCCTTGTTCAGAGAACTTGTTTTAGAGTGCAAAGTGGAGTCAAGACGGGAGGTGCCATTCTCCAGTTCTTGTTATTTCTGGTTGAGAAATAATTCAGAGATTTTCAGGTACATCACTCATAATGAAAATTTAGAAGGCTACAATAACAGCAGTAATAACACACTATCTCTACGAGTTTTCGCCAATGCTTTGGCAGTGTGAATAATTGAAAACTCGATAATTATTCTCATTACTTTCCAGTTTGTTTTGGTCACCAGGGTAGAGGGTGAAGGGAGTACCTACACCTTCAAAGCCCCTACTGACTAAGTGAATGTCTTTTGCTGCCACCTGCTGGAAAGGAGAGATTTTTTTTTTTTTGAGTTGGAGTTTTGCTCTTGTTGCCCAGGCTGGAGTGCAACGACGTGATCTCGGCTCACCGCAACCTCTGCCTCCTGGGTTTAAGTGATTCTCCTGCCTCAGCCCCCCAAGTAGCTGGGATTACAGGCATGCACCACCACACCTGGCTAATTTTGTATTTTTAGTAGAGACGGGGATTTCTTTATGTTGGTCAGGCTGGTCTCGAACTCCTGACCTCAGGTGATCTGCCAGCCTCAGCCTCCCAAAGTGCTGAGATTACAGGTGTGAGCCACCGCACCCGGCTGAGAGATTTTCTTTTGGAAGGAACTCTCAGGTGGATCATTAATTATGAATTGAATAATGGAACTGTGAACATGAGCCCCCAGCCTCCAAGGATCAGGGAAAATATTGGCTAGCTTGGAACAGGCATAGAGCATATTCTTCAAGAAATTGCTTTTGGGGTATTAAGGACCTTTGTAGGTGCCCAGGGGCCCAAACCTGATTAAGTGGTTGTGAAATTCTGTGGTTAAATGAGCTCCTGGAGCATCATTCTAGCATTATTTTAGTCTGCATGGTCCAGAGGAAAACAACTTCCACCATGGACAATGAGCAGGAGTAAATTTAAAGTCAGCCAGACCCAGGAGGATTTGCTGGAAAGCCTATGTCTGGGACCCCAAAGGTGAACTGAGTGGACTGTGGGCCCGAGCATTCCCTGGGTGGGGGTGAGGAGGAGCCAATAGCAGCAGCAGCAGCAGCAGGAGGAGGAGCAGGTATCTTTGTTAGGGTAGAGGTTCTGAATTCTAGAGTCAGGCCTCAAGTGCCTCTGTGACATTGACATGCTGCCTTCCACGTTTTTAAAATATTTCTTCCCCAGGAGCTTTTTATCTTGCTTAATTGTAATTCACAATTTCAGCCATTTGTAGAGCCGTTATGTCCAAAGTAGAAAACTTTAATAGAGTTTCCTAGGGAAGGGCAGGAGCTCCATGCTTGGACAAGAAGCAGAAACATTAAATTTTTTTTTTTTTATGAGACCACACTCACACTACATAAGGTTCAAGAGAGCCCATGTAAATGCTGCCTTATTAATAGCTTTTCTCATTCCCTAGGCAGTATGCAAAGTGCTATCCTTTACACATCCTGCTATGGGCACGAGGCATTTTCATCCTGGTGGGGACTAATTAAAGGGAGAGAAGAAAACTGTATCCAGAAGCTTAATTGATTTCTCTTTTTTGACTCTGTTTTTGTGAGGTGTTTTATTTTATTTTATTTTAATTTTTTTATTATGAGGTGTTTTCATAATAAAAGCAATACATTTATCTTTAAAGCCAGAGGAGCTCCTTCACTTTTGAGTTGTGGGCAGGGAGTTGGGGAGCGAATATAGGTTTCATATATGGATTTTACAAGCAAACCCAGGGTGAGAGGCCCTTCTAGGTCAATTGGGTATGGAGAGGGGCTGGGAGGAAAGGGGCCATCTGTACCTTTTGTGTGATTCCAGTGGAGTTGAGGACCAGGGAGCTGCGGTGGTCTGGAGAATTGGTCTTTAATTAAAGACAGATGAAACAACCCCCAGCTGGGCACCACTTATGTGCCAGATTGAGCTGCTGAAGTGTGAATATAGTTTCCCCTGAGACCTCATGAGTCTGGTGTAACAGGTACCAGTATCTTTTTACACATGGTAACCCAAAACATGAAATTTCCTATAGCAGAAGATATGAAGCCACCCGTGTTATCGCTGATGTGGAGTACTAGAGTTCTGAAGTCTCTGCTTCAGCAATTCCTTCAGGGAGGCAGGTATTAACATTTCTATTTTATGGATGAGGAAACTGAGGCCTGATAAATGAATGCTTTTTTTAAGGGCACAGAGTTAGTAGAGGGAAGAGACTGGGCTGAAACTGACTCTCACTTTAGTGTTGGTTCCACGGTACTTTCTGGATTGAGGGCACTGTGTTCTCATTTGGGGGTGGGGATTCAAGGACACCATTGGGGTGTTCTGCTAGTTCTACAGGGTTTGTTTGGGTGATTTGAAGCCTTGCCTAATTAATTGCAGGGCTCTTAGTCTGGAAGATTTGAGCATCTTAAGGATGCCATCGTAGAAGGATTTTTGTCCCTGTATCGGTCAATATTGCCATAATAATTTTGTATAACAAATAACCCAAAACTCAGTAGCTTGAAGCAAACCATTGATTTTAGTTCACATATCTGTAAATTGTGTTTGGTGTTGGCTTATCTAGGCTGCATTTGGCTGGGCTTGGTTTCAAACTCAGGTAGGCTGCTTGCTCCACACTTCTAGGTCTCCTTGGACCAGTGGGCCAGCAGGGACATGTTCTTATCATGATGAGGAAGTAGACAAGAACAAACCCCACTGCGCAAGCGTATTCAAACCTCTGCCTGCATAATGTTACTAACATCCCAATGGCCAAAACAAGTTATGTGGCTGGCCTCAAAGTCAAGAGATGGTGAGGTTTACTCCCATTCTAGTGGAAGGAACTGCAAAGCCACACAGTAAAGGCTGTGGATATGAGATGGGTAAAGATTTGAGGCCAATATTCAGTCAACCACTGTCCTTTTAGAAAGTTTCCCTGGCTTGCATGTCATCCGTCATCTCATACTATCCCGAGATATGCTTATTGCTCAGAGGTCATTGCACCCAAAGTATTGATCATGCACCGACTCATTAGATAATTAATCAGGTCTTAAGTTCAGAGCCTGCCTGCCATCTGTCCAGGCCTGTGAAAGGCACTTGGGCAACAGGGGTGCTTCCTTCTTCTTGCATCTGGTGAAGGGCACATTCCCCAGACCACTTTCCAAATTCCTGGCTAGAGAAATACCAATTTGGAGGTCCTTTGAAATTTAATTTCTGCCCTTAAACATAAACCTTAAAACCCTCCAATTATATCTCAGAATTAGAATAACATCCAAGCTCCTTGTGGGTCACAGGCCTTATATGATCTGGCCCTTCTCTCTCTCCCTCTTTGGCCTCTTTTCTTTTCTTTCTTTCTTTTTTTTTTTTTTTTGAGAGAGAGTTTCACTCTGGCACCCAGGCTAGAGTGCAGCGGTGCTGCAGGATCTACTTCCTGGGTGCAAGCGATCCTCCTAAGTAGCTGGGACCATAGGTGTACGCTACCACGCCTGGCTAATTTTTTGATCTTTTTGTAGAGATATGGTCTCCCTATGTTGCCCAGGCCTCAAACTCCTGAGCTCACACAATCCTCCTGCCTCAGCCTCCCAAAGTGTTAGAGTTACAGGTGTGAGCCACTGTGCCTGGTTGGCCTCATTTTCTACTTCTCTACCCCTGGCCCATTCAGTTTCAGCCATGCTGGCCTTTTTTCTGTTCTTGGGACACTCCCAGTTTGTTCCTCATTTGCATGCACCGTTCTCTGCATGTGGAAAGCTTCCTCCCATCTTGCCTTTTCTAGTCATTTAAGTTTTAGCTCAAAAGAACCTTTTCCAACCCGCCTTTCTAAAGTAGGGCCCCCATCCAAGTTGTTTTCTATCCTGTTACTCTATTTTATTTTCTTCATGGCATTTATTGCCATCTCAGATTATCTTATTAATTGGTTTATTTTTTGCCCTCCCCTCACCTAACCCACAGGAAAGCGAGCTCCATGAGCACATCACCAGTGACTAGCAATGTGTGTGCTATATAGTACACACTCAGTAATACCTGTTGAAAACATTATGAAATGAATGAATGCAGAGTGAATGGAAGGAAGACATCTTTGGGTCAACTGGAAGGGGAAAACTTAAATCTTCAGTTCAGGGGACAAGGGGAAGCCTGACAGAAACTGAGAAGGCAGCTAATAGACATTTTGTTTGCCTTGGCAATAATGGGTTTCAGCTCTAAAGAGGCCTTCCTGATCGACCATCTGTCGACAGAAGCCTAGCAGGTCCTGTTTCCTAACAGGGAAAGAATAAGGAAAGAGTAGATTTCCTTCTCCAAGCCTATAGGACCAGGGGTTAAGGTGGGAGGACAGGTGAGGTTGTGATAGCTTATGATGTCCCAGTGAACATTCACGCAGTGGGTGCAAGCCTTCCAAATCTTGTCTCAGTGACTGCATTACCATCAGATGAGAGTTGACAGCTGTTGCTGATTAAAACATTTCCAACAGCACAGTCAAAATTGCACGATTGAAATGATGAGTGTAGATGGACACAGCCTTTATGAATGGCTTAAACACAGCCCCTTAGAGTGATCACTAGCCTTATTAATACATATAGTTGGAAATCACTTTGCAATTATGAATGAATCATTCCTCAGAGCACCCCCCTGGGTGAGAGGCATCTTTAGGGATTTGTCTTAGACAAGGGAAGAGGAGGCTCAGGGCTGTGTTTCTCTGCACTAAGGTTCTCTAAAAAGAGTTATCAGGGTATCTGACTTTCCAACCAGGAATCCCCTTGGATGGAAATATATATCCATTATTCCAGGGATTCTCCTTCCTGGGCAGTCCCTCTGCCACCCTTCTTCAACAGGAACAGGGTCCTTTTCCACTTTTTTCCTCCTTAGCACAGGTGATTGTGCCTGATTAGTTAGGGAACACTTTGTGGAGGTGTTTACTGGTGGTGGTGGTGTCAGATTTTGCTGCTGCGTCTGTCTCTGAGGCAGGTGGATCAGGGCCACA